CTGCGAAAAGCTGTAATTTTAAAAAAAAAAAAACCCAAACAGTTATTTTTGTGGGTTTTTTTTTTCAAACTGCTCTTAAGTTTACAGGCTGCAGAGGCTCCCGAGGCTCACACAAGGTTTTCTGCTTGCTCTGCCAGAGCCAGGTGAGCTGCTGCTCTCAGAGCTCAGATCTGTGCCGTGGCTCTTGTCCATCTGGCTTTTGTCTAGCATGAATTCTTATCTTCTTTTTTTTCCAGGCCAACATAAAATCCTGCTTAAATTTCTCCCCCCCCACCCCTACCCCTGCTTTCTCCAGCACCAAAGGTAGTTTTTGCTTAATGCCAACCTTTTTTCAACAGCACAGATGCACCTCAACTCCTTTGGGCACATTAGAAGAGATAAAACAGCTCCTAAATAACAGGAAAGCCTAAGAGAAAGGCAAACCCTCCACAAATGGGATTTTATAAAATGGCTTAAATGACAAAGAGCTGATGCACAGTCGCAGCAGGTCTCAAGGATAAAGGTGCAAAGGGTGGTTCCTCCCTCTGAGATCAACCACCTCCATGGCTGGGGCCCTTCCCCCAGGAAGGGTGTTAGCCCAAAACCACAGTCTTGCTCAGCCACCAGTGACTGAGTTGGACACTGGGATTTGTGGGAAAGCAACACAGAGGTCTGGGGTAGCCATGTCTGGCTACTTAAAACCTTTTATCTGCAAATATCAACCTCATCAATACCAACAGTCCCTGTTTTGGGGTGATTAATCAGCTACTCTTGCAGGTCATCACGCCAGGATTTCACAGAATCACAGTGATTAGGCTGAATCCAGCTGATGTAAACAATAGATGGAAGAGACAGATGGAAAGAGATTACCCATAGAAGCAGTTCTTTCTATGGATCTGTGCTTTGAGCTGCTACACCAGAAAGCTGGTGGTGGTGCTGCTGCTGGCTGCAGAGCTGGTCAGTGGGAAGCAGACTCAGCCCCAGGCCAAACCCCCAGCACCCAGCCCTGGCTGCTGGCAGCAAGGACATGGTGTGTGCTCACCAAGGATGGCAGGTCCAAAGAGAAGCCAAGCCCCTGCCAGGGACAGCCCTCTCCAAAGCCAGGACAAGCCTGGCATCACTTTGCTATCCCCTCCCCAGCTTGGGTGACCTCCATCCATGTCTTGTCCTTGGCTCTCTGGGCTGCAGGAAAGCAGTGGCTGTTTCCCAGCACTGAGCTCTTCCCCCTAAGGAGCTGCTCCATGCACAGGTCTCCACCAAGGTGTGCATCAGCAGGATGAGGGGACTGCACCACACGAAGCTGAGCTGCTGCTCGCTCACAGGAGCCACATTACCAGGGGTTTATGAACCCAACCTGTTCATGGAAAGGATGCAGGACACTTGGCCAGCCCTGCCTCTTGGAGGTAGCTTTCAGAGGTGCCTCCTCTGGGTGCTGACTCAGTGGTAGATGTTATTTTCTCTCCTTACAAGCAGATCAGTTGAAGTGGGAACAGCTTTATGTGAGGAACAGGTTCACATATGAACTCTCTTCCAGTGGTCATCGTGCTGTCACCTCTCTCTTCCAGGTGTGGCACTCCCAAAGTCCCTCTTTGGGATCCAGAGGTTGAATTAGTTTCAAATCCAACACCTCCACTTCCCCAGTTTCAGATTCACCCTGAAGCACCACACAGCTCCAGGGCTGACAAGCCCAAGACACCATCCTGAAAGGCTCAGGGATTTGCAGCTGGCATTCAAAGTTCTCATACTCTGTGGGCTCCAAGACTTGGACTTCTCTACAGATGCAACCACCTCTGCAGCCTTCCTTCAGAAGCTCAGCAGAACTGAGAGGACATCTAAGGCACAAGGAGCAGACAAGTACCTAAGAGCTGCCAGTCACACAGCTCCTTAGCAGAGTCCTCCACGACTCTGATGTCCACTGGTGTAAGCCCAGTAGTAGATGTCTGCCATTCACTGCAGGCAGGGTCTCCCCAGACATGCTGAGGACCTGACAAGCTGGTGCTCCTTAGCAGAGGTGCTGAGGGACACATCAGCATCTCAGAAAAGAATGGGGACTGTGTTTCTTGAGATGTGTGAAAAAACCAGCAGGTGGGCTAGGGGAAAGAAGGAGCAAGTATTCAAGTAAATCAGCTATTTTTAAAAAGAAAATCATGCAATATGAGATGTTTGTGCAAAGGAAAACCTCCAGCAGTGAGGAGACCCTCACTATAAAGCTCTAGGACTTTACCCATGGAGGGCACTCCCCACTTCAACTGGGGAATTGGTCAAATAAACCACAGTGGGGATGACAAACCCACCTTTTTTCAAAGGGATTTGCTTTGGGAGCTGGGTTTCTTTGTGGCTTTTGGTTCTTAGTTATCTTTTAAAAAGAGAAATGCAAAGGTGGCAGCTGCATGGTGCCAGTGAAACAGGAATACCTTGTTCTTCTTGGCTTGCCAGAAGTCCTGTGCGCCGGGATGGATGGGGCTCCATCCCTGTAACACAGCAAAGTTTAGAGACAAAGATCATTATATCATTTGGTTCTTGTTGTATTCTGTTGGGTTTTTCTCTTCCCTTCACAAACTCATGGAATGGTTTGGGTTGGAAAGGACCTTTTAGGGTCAGAGTCCAACCCCCCCCTGCAAGGAGCAGGGACATCTGCAGCTAGAGGAGGCTGCTCAGAGCCTTGTCTCACCTGGAATGGTTCCAGGGATGGGGCATTGACCACCTCTGGGCAACCTGGGACAGGGGATCATGTCAGTTGTAAACTCACAGGCTAAAAACAAAAAAACAGAGGGGTTCTGCAACTGGCTCCTCCAACCCAAATTCTCCCTTGTGGTACAATCGATGTATACTGCAGAAAGAATAAACATTCTGAGTTCTAGAGAGGCCACAAGATGCTTCTCCCTCCTGCCTCACGTGATGCTTTGCAGGATCAGCAAGGAGAGGACAGTGTGGCAGCTGAGGGGAGCTGGCTCTGCTGCCAGCTCCCTTCTCCTGCCCATCATCAATGCCCCCTCTGCACTGTGCCCTTCTGCTTAGCAGGGTGGGTAAGGAGACATCCAGCTTCTGTTCAAGAGGACTTTGGGAAGAAGATTCAATTACAGAGCGTCTGTGATAACAAGGCACTTGACAGCCTCGATGACCTACAAGGATCTTCCCAAACCTCAGCTGGGCACTCCTGCTCCTACTGCAGTAAGATGGTGACAATGAGATGAAGGGCTGGAGAACACATCCCTGCTGCTGCAGGCTGAGCTGCTGCTCATCAGGAGGAGAGAAGGGCTGGCAAGGGCTCTGCAAGACCAGCATGGCCCTCACTGCACTCAACTGCTGCCTCAGCTTGTCTGGACAAACCATGGGACTTGTCTTGCGTACATGTGGGCAAGGCACCACAGAGTGGTGAGGCTGGAAGGGACCTCTGGAGATCATCTCATCCAGCCCCCCTGCTCCAGCAGCTCACCCACAGCAGGGTGCCCAGGGTCACAGCCAGGGGGGTTTGGAATCTCTC